CGTTTGTTGGATATTCGTAGAGACAAGAAAATAAACCCGCTTGTCCGGTGTCTGCTGGGCGTGTAGCAGCAGTAACCACCCGCGGGGGCAGCGGCAGCGCAGCTCGCTCCCCGCGTGGTGCCAGCCACCCTGCCGGGCATCCGGCCCCTGCGAGGTTTTCTCTCTGCGCCGCCGTTGGCCAGCGGGCCCGGCCAGACCTCGTGCATCACCGCGACGAGGTTTGAAAGTGCTGTTTTCTCTCCTCAGTGAAGCAGGTTTGGTTTTCCCTCCGCGCACCGGAAGGCCTCACCCCGGGCCCCTTTCACTTTCGCGTTGCCCCGCTCCCCGCGCTGCGGCTGGGCGCGAGCCCGCGACAAACGCTGCCTGTGCCAGGCCCTGGAACAAGGAGAGGGGCTCAAAAGCCATGAGCTTTAAATAGAAATATACTCGGGCTTTTTAAGTGATTATTAGTACTTATGTTCCAGTCCGAGGCTTCCAGGAGCTCTTGGAAACCTCCTTCTTCTTGACGAGAAGCAGAGACTTCCAAGGATTCACGGATTTCCGGGTGGCAGGACTTGTGGTAAAACAGCAAATGTCACCAGATGTGCAGTGACACTGCAAGAGGTGATTACTTCGTTCACACCAATGTCAAATTTTGATTAACAAGATCCAAATGCATTTCTATTAACGAGTCTCTTTCAAAATACTTTCTATGCTTTGTAAATGTTGCCCAGGTAGGTTGCTGACCCTACAAACACTGGATTGTAACAAGTTCTGTGCATAAAGTGTATCCATTATTCCTACTTAGAGGTTTGGGGCATAGTTTCCTGCAGGGAAACTTCACATTTGAGGCAGCAGCAATCCTCCTCATAAGAAGCAGCTGCAGCATTTATTTATTGTGCATGACTTGGTTGAAGGAATATTCTGAGGCTTGATTTTGTGAGATTTCAAAACTCACTCATCCATTTCTTACAGGTTTTACTCACCTCCCCTTCGTGTGAACTCTGAGCAGCAGAAAAGATGGGAAGTAACAGGGCGGCAGAGTTAAAAGAGCCCTTTCTCTGGCCTACATGGCCCAGAGCCTGTGCTGCAGTCCACCCTGCCACTGAGCTGTGGCTGCCAACGTGGGACCCGTGGTAGGTCTGTACTCACAGGAATGAGGGGTAGAAGCTTAGCTCTATCTATCCCAGCAGCCATCTGTTTTCATCTTCAATTGAGGAGAGAGTAGGGGGAACCCATAGCTGATGTTTTCACACTATAGATAGAGCCAAAGAGCATCCCTGCCACGTTGTGTGGTATTATGTGGCACCGTATGCAGATTTTTCCAGTGAGCTTGTTTGCATATAACCACACTCATCAATTTATGGGCAACACAAGCTGAACTCAGGTTGTGGAGCTTTACAGAACTTGGCAGTTGTGCCCTGGTGCTGGGGGAGGTGGGAACAATGTTGTCAGCTTTCCTGATTTTACTACCAAGCCCCAGCTCCTGGAGTCAGGATTAGGTAAGAACTTCATCATTAACAAAAGTCCATAGCTCTCAAGGCTGCAGAGAAACACCTGCAAACATGGCCCTAAATGAACCCCAAAGAGTCAGGAACCAGAACACCACTATACAACAGCCATCATGAATTAATATCTTTTAAAGCCTTCTGAGGGCTGAGCTGATCTCATTTTGGGGCTGATTTGTGAATTTTGAAGCTGGGGAGCTAGCATTGGCAGGGAGAGGGCTGTGCCTGAGGATGCTGGCACTGGAGCATGGCTGGTGGGGTGAAAGTTGTGGGTTTGGTTGGTACTGAGGCAGGTTCTGCTTGGGGCAGGAGTTGAGAGAAGCTGATACTAGTACTGTTTTCTGCTCTTCACTGCATGTACTCTCCAGGCTCTGCTATTGTAACCTCTCCCTGCTGCCAGCCCTGCTGGAAGATGCAACCATACCCAAAGCAAAGCTGCGCATGTGAGGATCCCAGCTGGGCCAGAGGAAGGTGTAATAAAACACAAGGATCCCACCTGACTGCCAATACTTGGCAGCCTTTCCACCAAGCTGGGGAGGAGCTCACCCCTGGCTACTCCCTTACACCCAGTGTGTAACCTGGAATGCACTGCAGGCTCCAAAGACAACACAAGTCAGCATGGCTGGGGCTGTGCGCTGCTGGCAGAACAGCAGATTAGGAGGCAGGGGGGCTGTCCTTTACAAAACTCAGCTGGATCTCTGCTCTGGACTGCCCCAGCAAGGCATCCTGGCCTCTAGTCTTTAACCAGCTACAGTCAGGATGCTGTGGGCAGGAGTGATAGATTTGCTATTGGACTCTAAGGAGCCACAAGTCACTACCTGATTCCTAGTATGGGGCCCCTAATTTAGCTAAATGGAAATTGTGTGTTAGTTGTTTAATATGGCCTGGAAACATGCCTTGCAGCTTTGGGTTCAGGGGAGTGCTGTTCATGGGAGATTGGGAAAGCAAAGCCAGGCCCCTGTGGTATCTAGAAGTCCAGTAAACCTGCTTCTTGATCTTACCCAGGGGAATAGGTTCTGTTCCACTTTAAGCCAGTGTAAATCTGGAGTAATTCTGCTGCCTTCATGTTTTGATGAGCTTGCAAATGTTTTGAATTCCTGATTCCTAGGGAGAAGCTCAGAAAAGCTGAGGTGGATTCAGACCCCAGTCCCCTTTGACAGCCTACATGCCATCTAATCTGGGGTTTGAAACACCTCCCCTTCTGTGGCTGGCTTCCAGAGGTACCGAGCGCTCCCAACTCATCTGGGCCTCCACTAGACTTGGGGGTGGTGTGCAAATCTGGAAAGCAGCCCTTGAGCAAAACTTTCCCCTCCCAGTCTGTGGCTGGGAAGCGTCTATTCCCCTGGCTGGGAAGCTGGGATGAAAAGAGTGCGTGGTTTGTGTGCAGCGTCCCTTGCTGCAGAACAATCTTTCACTTCCCTCTGACCTGTGGGCTCCCCAGACAAACTGCAAGCAGCTCAGCTCTTTGCTCCTCTGCACCTGGCACCGCCATGGAATAGACCTGAAAACAAAGAAGGGGGCTATCAGGAGGCCTCCGGGCTGAGTGGTGGTCAGTGTAGCTGGGAAGACCCAGCTCAGGCTCCTCTGTCCAAGGGACTGGATCTGGCTGGAACCTGATTTCCTCAGGCCAGACAAACTCCTCAAGGCAGAGAAAGTGGTGGAGCAAGTCTGGCAGTTCCCTATGGTGACATAGGAAGGGTAGGGGCAAGGGGGCCATGAGCAATTCATCTTCTTCCCCTGCTAAAAAGAGGGAGGGGAGAGGAGAAAGAAGGGAACTCCTACCTCCTCCTCTTCCCCCCCCCCACCTGCTATTCTAGACCAGGGGTCCCTCAGCTCTGCCAATTCCTCTCCAAGTGCAGTCACTCCTGCTCTTAGTCCTCCTCCCCAGCTGTACCACTGCCCTGCAGCCCCCCTACCTTCCTAGCCAGGCCTCCAGGCTCTGCCAAAGCCTCTACACCCTGACTCCCACTGCTGCTCCAGCCCTACCTCCCCCCACAGTAAGGCTGGGATATGTATAAAGTAACAGCAGGGGAAGGCCCACTTAAGGACAGATCCCTGAGGCCACTCTGACCCTATACCCTTTTTGATGTAGGGACTGTTGATTACCCCACAGTACAACCCTTCCTCACTTCTGACTGTTCAGTTGCCCTCTCCTGGCTTGACAAGCTGTTCCACTACTGCCAGGGTGGCAAGGAAAGGCTGGGCCCCACATATGGGTGAAGGTAGCTATAGTTAGGGGGGCAAGGGGTGTCCTGCCCCATCTCATCCCAAGGGCTCTTTGGCGTTTCGTCCTCTGAGCACTCCTGCACACGCTGCAACTTGCTCTTCTCCCTGCCGGAGGCAGGGTTTTCTCTGCTTTTCCATGAAGAGGCCCTTTGGACATCCTCAAGGAAACCCCTTTCCCTGCACTCAGTCCTGCTCTGGATTTTGAAGCAGACAACAATGCTCTGCTTAACATTCTCCTGGTCACTTTGGTTGCCATGGCTCTGCTCACCGGGGTTTGCACTCTGTTGTGCGTTTGTACAATCTCTTCCATATAGGAGCCAGCTACAGACAGCATTTCAGGGCAACGAGAGGGCCTGCTGGGAGGCTGGAGCAAGCTGTCTCACATGGGAGGGTGAGGGATTAGGCTGGTGTGCAGAGCAGGCTTTGTGTTGGGGTAAGCTGATCGATTCCCTGGGCACTACTGAGACCTGACAGTGGGAATACACCAGCGGGGATAACATTTGCCTTTAGGCTTTACTCATGGGCCTTCAGGGGAGGGAGCTGGGTTGGAGGAAGAGAACAGAAGCATAGGGCTCTTGTCTGCATCTTCAAGGAGGTAGCGAATCCTGGTGAGGTATTGCGCCCCCGCTGTAGATTAACATGGAATAGTGGAAGCACAAGGCTGGGTGGGAAGCTTCTCTTGGGGGGTTGCTGCAGTGCTGGGCTCTAGGCTCCCCACTCATGCGGCTGAATGGATTGAACATCAGATCCCTTTTTTCAGCATGTTTCAAGGCATGGCAAGGCCTGCTTCACTTTGTATACTACTCCAGCCTGCCCAGTGCTCCTGGATTTGAGCCCCAAGCATACAGCATTTAGAGAGTGCTCCCTTTTGAAGTCCTGGGAATAGAGGATTCCTTTGCTTTTATCAGGTGGTAGCTTTTTCTGCAAGATCTGACCCTGGGTTCCAGGCAGGGCTGGTGTAGTGCAGGAGATTTAGAGCTGGGAATAAATTCAGGTCTAGATAAGATATGTTAGCCAGCTCATTAGCAGCAGCACTGGGCACTTCATTGCAGGGACAGGCCCTGGGGAGGTGGGAGATCATCAGTAAGGGTGCCAGAAAGGGCTGAGATCACATCATCCCCTTATCCTTTGGCCCTTTCCTGAGAGCCTCCGGGCACATGGTTTTGTCCTCTATTTAGGACAGATGTTTAACACCATCACTTTACTGAGGTTGCAGCAAGTTCAGAATCAGTTCAGGGTGGCAGATGGAGTAAAAGCATGGCACAAGTCTGCCCACAAATATGCTCAGCTCCTCTTCCCTCCCCCACAATCCTTACAGTAAATGGTAAGGGGAAAACAGCTGCATCTACAAGACTGTTTAGCACAGAACCAGTTACTTGCTACAGAACTGCAGAGCACCTACCACGCTCCCTTCCCCCACCCAGGCTATTACATTGCCATTGGACTGCAGCAGGGAATTTCCTAGTTAGGAATGTGAAGTGAGACTTCTCTCCATTTGGAGGGCCAACAGGAGGAAACCTCACTTGTGTGGCTGCCCCCAGGTCAGGGCAGTGTGGGAGGCAGCTGGGCTTCTCTGGGCTCTCTCCAGATTTGGGCACTGCCCACCCCTGCTTTGGTGTGGCTGACAGCCATTCCTGCCCCAATGTGAAGAGTGGCTGTTTGGACCAGTCTACTGTGCATCTCCTGTCCTGCTACAGCTCCTCCTTAGCACCCAGCTCCCTGGTTGGGCACAGGTCACCCCAGAAACTTCTTAAGTCACTCCTCACAAAGAAGTGTGATCTGAAGGAAGAGTTTAGCCAGCCACAGGAGAGCAGCTGAGGGTGGATGTTGGACTTTATACTGCCTCTGCCCTGCATAGCCACCCCTGTTACCCAAGAACTTACTGCTTAACCAGCCCTTAAGGGAATTTTTTTTTTTGAGCTGAGGTGGCTGGAACAAGAATCCTTGTCCCCCCTCCACCAGGGTAGTACATGAGGACAGGGCCCAGCTCCAGTCCCTCTCCTCTGATTACTGAGAGCAAGGAGTTCCCAGGCAGGAGAGAACCCCCAAGTCCTCCATGCTCAACACTG